ACCGCTCACCTACCACATCTCACCAACCGTTCACCTTCCGCTCACCTACCTCCCACCACCCCTCTCTTGCTTCTATAAATAGAGAGGGTGTGAGGCTTAGGAGAGCAAGGGAAGAGATCTTAAGCTACCACAAAGGAGGAAGGAGGCTAGAGAGCTAGAGAGCTAGAGAGAAGGAGAGCAAGTTGAGGCCTTGTATCAAGGTGTCGCTTGAGAGGGAGGTCATAGAAGGAAGATGAGGGCTCATCTCTATGTATAAGTTATGTATTCTCCATTTCTTTTGCCTTAGTGAACTATTTGATTGATTCCCTTCCGTGGACGTAGATCCAGTTGGATCGAACCACGTAAATGATCTGTGTTCGCTTGTGTTCTTTTTCGTCTCATTTCTATGCCAGGAAGTACATATCTCACAACAGGAAGTTATTCACCAAAAGTCTAAAATGACCCTATTCTAGAGGCTACATATAGACCCACTCTCTTCACTTGAGGTGGAAAGAGAAGTGAAGGAAACCCAGAGCCTGTTCTGAAGTAAAGACCCGATGATAAATTCTTGTTTTTGTAGCTGCTGATCATTGCCGATAATCCCAGGTCCACGATCGATCATCGACAATCGGCTGTTGTTGACTACTACAGGTCGCCCCTACTTGTTGCAGCCGATGACACCTATTTATTAACAACGTAACCCAAATATAGTTGTAACGTGCAAAAAAAATATTAAAAACTGCATAATAACTTCTAGTCTTCGTGTCTGTAAACTACTGATGACCACCCTTCTTTAGGTTGCTGACGATCATCGTCGACTGTGCTTGCTCGCTTTTGTAGCCAACCCTTGCTAGCTTGCTAACGACATATCCCAAACACAACCGTAATGTACAACATCGTACTAAAGACCAAACGGTAACTTATGGCCTCCGTAGTCGTAAACCACCATCCGTTGGCCGTTGCCGGCCGCTTCTACTCGCCACCTACATCCCTTGCTTGCTAAAGACGTATCAGCTATAACATATAACATTATATTAAATATTTTATAATAATTTCTTATGACCACTGCTTATGGCCACCTTATTAATAATACAATATTTTTTTCCAAACTCATGAAATTTTCTATACATTATACAAGTACAAATGTTGTATCTATTATAAAATTGTAACCTACTCTTATACTCATGAGAAAAAAAGTTACATTTGTTTACTTACTCACTTACAGTGGGTTACTGTGACTAGACTATGGCCAGTATTTTTTCCCTTTCTGATTTTTTCAGCATAAAGAATATTGGTTTTATCTTCGCATAACATTACCATATGTGTTATCTGTCTGTATAGGGATTGAACCAGAGTCAAATGATTCTCATGACCAACAGCGTACCTGCCTACCAACTTATCACCGAAGCGCGCGTGCGCGCACACACACATATATATATATAGGATCGAAACCAGGTCACAGGGGTCTTAGGACAAATAACACAGCTGCCTACAAACTTTTCACCTAGCATATATATATATATATATATATATATATATCCAACTTAATTGCTTATAGTTGCATCTAAATTATATATTTTAAATCAAAACATATTTGATATGTTCCATAATAATATTCTTCTTTTTAGAAACACTCAAAAATCAAAAAGTTATTTTGAAAACTTCAAAACAGATGTTCATTTATTAAAAAAAAAAAAAAAGCTAAAAACAACATAAACAAACATATTCTCAAAAAAAAAAAAAAGGAAAAAAAGTAAAAACAAAAAATAAAAAATAAAATTGATCCCAAATATATCCAAGTATTTACATATCTAACCCTCCGTGACAGTTTTATTTATACCACACTTTAAGACATTCGCCGGCTCACGGAACTAATTTTAATCACATGCAAATTTTGTTTGACGACCAATTTTGGTGTCCCTTTCACTAGGTTAATTTACATTTTCAACCTTCGTATATTACAGTGGGATTTGTTAAGGAAAATATAAGGGCAGACATTGAGTTAAAATATTCTATTACAATTTGACGACGAATCTTAAATTATTCAATTAATTTCAAAGGTTTAACGAAGTGTATAAACTACAAATCAAATTTTATGTTACGATTATCATGAATCCTTTTCAAAATTTGTACTTCATCGTAATTCAAATTATTTTCCTCTAAGAATTACTTCTGTTGAGATGTGCACACTAATTACTGTGGTCAAACTGCAAGCGTCTTTAAATTAAAGGGCATTTACATACATAACACCCAATTCTAATGTATTTACATATCTCACCCCTAAACTTTCAATTTTAATCTCAGATGTTTAGCTGTGACACACATAAAAAACATAAGAATTATGTATTCAGTATGTAAATTCAATTTATATATAAAAAAGAATTTTGCATCATAAATTAAAGCCATATATTTTATAATTTACGGCTCATTATTAAATAAATAAATAAATAAATAAAAGCACGTGTTAAATAGAAGTGTTCCAATATCGCATCATCGTAGGTTGGAAATGATGGCTAATTGAATTGTGACAAGAAAACGATATTTTATGAACTGATAATACAACGTTTTTATGATGATATATATACTTATAACCTATGGCTGTAATAGTTAAGGTCATAAATTTTGATTTTACGTTCATTACACAAATGCATAATTTATATATTTTTTTAATTTACTTTAATAACCAAGTTTAGTTATGTAATTATTAACATTATCAATTTATAGGAACATGAAAGAATATTAATATATCATTTCTAATAGATTTTTAGGGGAACTTAACATGTTTAACCACACAATTCATATGTATTTAGGTTTATAACTCTTAAACTTGAACATAACATCAACAAAATTAGGGTGTGTTTGGGACAGCTTGTGCTTATTTAGAGAAATCGTTTATTTGGAAACGCAGAGTGCGGGGTTCGATCTACGTCCCGCGTTTAGTGTAAAAAATTAACTGTATTTTCGGATAAGCTGTTTAAACGCAGTTTTAAGCGATGAGGCGACCTTTTCAAAACGACGCCGCTGCGGATAAGCTGCCTCAAATGAAACCTTAGTGAACTAAGCCCTAATATTTAGCAAATACTTTGAGAAATTGACGATAAAATATGTTATTTGAAAGGTCTAGATATTGCAATAAAAAACTTGTGTTTGAAGTTAAGAATGAAAAATAGGAAAGTCAAACGCTTGAGAGATATTATTTGAAGATTTATTAATATAGATGCCATAACAGTCACACCTCATTAATATAACTTCAATAGCTCAGTCAAACCTCATGCTTAACATATGGACCCTCAAGGTCTCGGTCGCATGCGGTCAAATCCTAGGAATTGTCGAAAATGTTCCACGTCACCCAACCCCTACTTATTCAGCACAGTTTGACTTGTTGGATGATTCGAGCTTAAGTAAGTTTAGTGTTTGTTTATATTCGGCTATTCCAAAATTTATTGGTTTGGTAATATGTTGTGTTCGATTCTTTTGATTATTCTATGATGGTGTTTTGCTGCTTCGGCTCATATTTAACTTACATTATTTAAAAATAATAAATTTATGTTTTTTTAGATAAAACATAAAAATAAGATAAATATATTAGAAATAAAATTACTTATAAAATTTTTATTTTATATAATTAATTTGAATTTATAAACTTAAAATGAATACTACCTATTATTATGCGTGAATGTTGAACTAAAATGAGCCAAATATAACTACATAAGTATCATTTTATTTTTGACTCATTTTATAAATTAAGTTATGACATTGGGATCGCTTACATTATAAATACTTGATTTTTCTTGCATATGATGTAATTCTCATGTATTGAAATATCCAACACTTGATATTTTGGTTTCATAATGTATGATAAAAATGTGCATACTAAATCTCTTAGAGAGACGGCCCACACATATGATTGAACCAGCCTAGACAGCCATCCCGGAGGGACAATCAACATGGTCTGAGTGAACAACCCAATTTAGTTGACCGAGCTGACTTTGCAGACCTGAAACCAATTAAGTTTAGTCGACATAGCTGAATAGTAACTGGATGATAAGCTTGTATATTGACAATAATAGAAATATCATAATAAAGACTTCTTTAATATGAAAGAAAGAAATATACCCCCTTTTTTATAAATATGAAATCATTTTATAAATAAGACATGAAAAATTATTATTTATTCTCTCTATTTCTATATCTCTCTTTATCTCTTCTTAGTTATGCCCTTTTTATGGTCTGTTTTGGGTAGTTGTAGCTGTTTGAAAGACAACTGTGAAGCTGTTGTTTAAAATACTTTGGTGATCATATCAAATTTATTCTATTTTCAAAAAGTCAGCCACCAACTTTCTGGAAGTCACCACACTTTATTTGCTCGGGTTTTAAAAAATAACTTTCTACTATAAAAATTTCTGAAAAACAATAAGAAACCAGTTTCGCAAATAAAACTGTGATATCAATCTAAAAAACAATACAAGCAAAAAGATATGTCAAAAAAACTTTTAGTGGATGTGATTCAAAAATAAATTTAGATTCAAGTCTTAACAGGACAGAAAACATTGAAACTTTTGTATATCACACCTAAACCTTGATTTTTATGTATAAAGCACATTATGTAGCCTTCCGTTTTCCTTACCACCGATCCGATAGAGAGAAAGCCCTATGAGTCCATGGTCGAACCCAACAATTCTGCCTTCAAGCATCAGATGGAAGAACACAGAGCAGCCGACAACAAATTTGCTGACCATTAAAGTCATGAAATGCAATATTTCCAAACGATTCCGACCAGCAAAGAAAAATGATGGTTACTAAAGTTATTTTTAAATGTGACTATCAAACTTTAGATTTTATATAGATAAATTCTTATATTTTTTGTATTTAAAAGCCCATACATTTCTGTGTTATATATTTTAGTGCATTGTACTTCACCTTTATAGAGGAGGCGCTAAATATTTTCAAATATTAAATATATTATTATAATTATAATTAACATTACGTTTCTCATATTGGGTTTGGGGGGCTGTGGCTGGCCTTCGGGAGCATGTGGGACCCACCATTTTTTGATTTTTTAATAATCACTCCGTCGTCATCTTTCTCCGTCTCCCTCTTATTTTTAATCTCTCTCTATGACTCGTCATAATACGCACCTCAACGTTTCTTTAACAATCTCTAATGGCTCGTGCTGCTCCAACTAGCAGTGGAGTACAGAGTCTGTCTTCTTTGTGAAAGCCCGGAGGAAAGTGCAGCAGAAGCCATTGTACCCCGTGCTGCGCAATTCCTCCAAACTCTCACCTCACAGCTTCGCATCAATGCTGCCTTCCGCTCTCAATGCTCATCTGCTACATTAGAAAAGGAAAGGAAGCAAATCGGAGCTATCATCTACTTCAGCAGCGGAGATCAAGAAGAAGATGGCTTACATGTGCACCGATAGCGGTAATCTCATGGCCATCGCCCAGCAAGTGATCAAACAAAAACAGCAACAACAACAACGCCATCAGCATCAGCAACAGAATCAGCAGCCCATCATGCCTGCTGTCGATGTAGCTTCCAGCGGCGGCGATCACTTTGTTTCCGTCCCGCCGCAGTGGGGGAACCAGCACCAGCAAACTCCCATCAGGGATCACTTCCCTTTCGCCTTGACCGAACCGACTTTCCATGACCCTTTTGCCGCCGGTGTGCTCGGCTTCCCACCCCCGCCTCATCTCGACCATGCTCCCTTTCGAATCTCTGAGTTCGATTCTGACGAATGGATGGACAGTCTGATCGGCGAATCCCCAACCGGAAGCTCCGAAATCATGGCGGATGTCTGGCGAGGAAGCGACCTCCCTCCAATCTTCCCTGATGCTTTTACATCCTGCTCCACAGCCATCAGTCTTCCATCTCAGGCTTCCACTTCCGACCTCGACCGAGTAGTTTTCCCCGATTCATGCAATATAGTCGCAACTCACTCCCACTCCTTCGATCCGCCTCCGCCTCCACCTCCTCAGCCGAAGAAGGGCTCGGTGGATTCAAAATCCCCTCCTCTGCTCTTCAAATCTCTTCTCGATTGTGCTAGAATCGTCGATTCGGAGCCGGATCTGTCCGCAAAAGCCATTGACCACATCAGAGACCTTGCTTCTGATGTCGGTGATCCGACCGAGCGCGTCGCCTTCTACTTCTCAGAAGCCTTAAGCAGCCGCCTCACCGGCTCTACGGCTCCTGATTTCCAGGAAGAAGAAATCAATCTATGCTACAGAGCCTTCAACGACGCTTGCCCTTACACAATGTTTGTTCATCTGACGGCCAACCAGGCGATCCTAGAAGCCACAGAATCAGCTGACAGAATCCACATCATCGACTTCGGAATCGCACAGGGCATTCAGTGGGCGGCGTTACTCCAAGCACTTGCCACACGCCCTACAAGAAAACCCTCCCGGATTCGGATCTCCGGCATCCCCGCAGCGTCCCTTGGCGGCTCTCCGGCCACATCCCTCGCCGCTACGGGGAACCGCCTTCTCGACTTCGCCCGGATCCTAGACCTAGATTTCGAGTTCGAACCGGTGCTTAATCCGGTTCATGATCTGACCGCAGCGTCCTTCCGAGTCGAACCGGGAGAAGCCGTGGCCGTAAACTTCACGCTACAACTCTACACGCTACTGGGCGAGAGCGACGAGCCGGTGAACCGCGTAATCCGGCTCGCTAAATCGGTCCGGCCGATCGTGGTGACTTTGGGCGAGTATGAATGCAGTCTGAATCGAATCGGGTTCGTGGAGCGGTTCGGGAATGCGTTGGGATATTTCGCGGCGGTGTTCGAGTCGCTGGAATCGTCTATGGGACGTGATTCGGAGGAACGGGCCCGGATCGAGCGGGTCATACTTGGGCCTCGGATACTGTATACAGTGGGCCCAGAGGGAGGTCAAGTACGGAGGGTGAGGATGGAGACGAAGGAAAAATGGAGGGCTGCCATGGAAGGGTGCGGATTGGAAATGGTTCCTTTGAGCAACTACGCGGTGAGTCAGGCGAGGCTTCTGTTGTGGAATTACGATTATAGCCCCAAGTATTCGTTATTGGATTCCTCTACGGGTTTCCTCTCACTGGCATGGGAGGATTTGCCACTCTTCACGGTTTCTTCGTGGCGTTGATTGATTGACCAGCTCTCTTCCGTAAGAAAATGAAGTATGGTATGATTGTTAATTATGGTTTCTTATCATCGTACAATTTTATATTCTAAATCCAAAATTAACGAAATTTACGTAACGCTTCTTTTTTTTCTTCTTCTTGATTTTATTTTCCGATTTTTTTTCTGCTTATATTTATTGGAAAAGAGCGTTGTCCGGTTTTGTTTTTGTTTTTCTCTTTGCCCGAGAAAGGGTGACAAAAAGGGTAAATATTGCAATTCACTTTGTCATTAGTGATAAAACCTTCGGTTGCTCCTAGATTAGCGAATTGTTTGTATATTTATTCCGTCGGTTAGGTCGTTCGCTCCATGCCGACTGATAGTCTTAAGGGCTCGCCTGGGTTGACTCCTCCACATATATTCATTACTGAATTAGTCTCTGAAAGTTAGAATTGAGTGAATGAGAGAAGAAAGAAAACATAGAATATGTTTGAGATCTTTGTAGGGAGAATCGAATGAAATGTTATTATATTTGTATTTTTGCTCTGTATTTATAAAGACATGTTTTGTACAATTACAAAAAGAGGGAACGGTTATGAAAACCGTCTTCATGTTATTAAAGCTCTAATTGATTGCATAGATTTATGTCAATTTTTTATTACAATTTGAATTTCAACATTGGTGGTAATTGACGTCGGTCGGCTTGAAGTCAAATGATTGAGACAATCGACCGAGTGAAATTTGTGCCCTTTGAAGTATGCATGGGTCGGTCGGGGTGTTCAGTCATACGACGATTTTGGTCGGTGTCTTTTGGCACCACAGACCTGAGCTGTTGGTTGTGAGGTGATTGTTCAGTCCAGATTTTTTTCATAGTGAGTCATTGCTCATTTTTTCTTTATCTCGAGTCTTACAAGGCTCGTCCCTCATCTGTCTGGTTAGTTCGTCAACTCGGACAGATCTCCCAATCTTGCAATATCTTGAGCAGATATTATCACAGCCCACGCAGGATATTCGACGAAACTCGTTGTCAGGATGATTTACACATCACTTTTTCGGCTGGTATTGCCGCTATCTAGCTAGAAACCATCTTCGGAGCTTGAACCTATACTGGGTTTGAAGACGCGACTTTCTTCTCGAACTTGAATCGTCGGTTGATTGCTTACCTGGAAATGAGACCTTTTCATATTGGTTGTTTATCCTCTTTTAGATTCGTGCTGGTGTTTCTGGTATATACAATTACATAATCATTTTATTCAGTTCAGCATATTTCGATCATATAGGAAAAAGTTTGATCCGATTTGAATCTGTATTATGGTGCTCAATTTTCTCAAGGAAAAGACACAAATTATTGGGCATAATTTGATTACATTATATTATTAATGTGGTGTAATCATACGGAATATTTGATGGAGAAAAAAAAAATTATTCGGGAACCACGATCAGATCGGATTCCCCACCACCTCGGCTTTTTTTTGGTGCATCATTTGGTTGTAAAATGGGTAGTTTTTTGGTCGCCGAAAATTTAAATTGAAAAAATATATATATTTTTCAATAACACAACAATTGTTGGATGAAACTTTTAAATTATATATATATA